TCAAGCCACATGCAAATCATGGAACGTTTTTATAAAGAATATTGTCCCATGATTTGTTTGGCACACAGTCTGGCTTCCGATAAGTGTGAAATATAGAAAGATAGCTTGGTTCGATCGACGCAGAGTTTATCCGTCACGTACATAAATACACCAACCTTTGTCTTCCGTTCTCAACCCCTTTACTTTACCCCTTCTTTCAACCCGTAACATTCCCTCAGACAGCTTGTTCGTCACTCGCCAGGTGGCCCGGTAAGTAGTTTAGAACCAAATAAATCGAAAATACTGAAGCCTCGTCAGCCACTAAATTTGGGGGCCTTCAGCGTGAGGACTCTGATACAGGTAGGCCAACAAGCATGTCTGGCGCGTACAATGGACTTTTTGGGAATGGATGTCTGCTGCGTGTCGGAGATTGGACTTCAGGATCCTAGTACTATGAACCACTTAAGTGCACCGGGGTTGTCTTCGAGGTTCTTCCTCCGCACTTCAGGTGCTGACGAAGTCCTTTCAGTAGGCCAGCGTGTTGTGGGCATTGTACTGAATAATACAGCCCAAGCCGCACTACTCGATTGGATCCCCGTCAACAGCCGCTTATGTGCGATGCGGCTGCAAGGGTCTATCAGCGTCCGGAAGGGAAGCAACACCAAAAGGTGTTTGTTCATCATTTCAGCGTATGCTCCGACCAATTGCAGTTCTGACGCACAGAAGGACGAATTTTATGATAAACTTACCGAACTCATTCGGTTGAGTCGAAGCTCCGATATAGTTGTTCTCGCAGGTGATTTTAACGCTCAAGTTGGAAAACTGAGCGCATTGTAAGTTTGTGTAGGTGGTCATTGTGCTCTGCCCTGCCAGCGAACAGATAATGGCGATTGACTTCTTCAGTTCTGCGCAGATCATCATCTGTTCCTATCCAGCACCAACTTCCGTCACAGTTCTCAACGGACAGCAATGTGGCGCTCCAATTTAACCGGTGCGCCAACTCAGATGGACCACATAGCACTAAGCTACCGTTGGCGTGGCTCAGTTCCCGGTGACCCGGTGGTAACGTCACCAGATTATCACCCCGGGGTTGTGTTCTAATCCCACCACCACCGCCTGACTTTCCCTATTCTCTGTGTTGTATGGCAGGCCTTTGATTGGCCGCTTCCCCCTTCCTGAAAACGGTATCATCGTGTATTCAATAAAAGGAAGTAAAATGAAATGAAGAAAAAGAAAAAAAAGAAAACTGCAGGTCCTATTGGCCCACCAGCGTTGAATCTGATCATGCGTTAGTTTCGATGCAGTTCACTCTCCAACTCACTGGTCACAAAAAGCTCACCAAACTCGATTGGCGAATCATCGTTTATCTGACCCAGCTGTTTGTTCCCGTTTTGAATGAGAACTAGGGCAAGAGCTAAACGCACTGCGGAGTGGTAATGCAAATGAACAGTGGGATCAGATTAGGCGAGCAATGCACTCCGCTGCGAGAGTTGCTTGTGGACCTGAAGCGGTAGCCCGCCCGAGGCATTAGATATTTGATGATTCAGTCACACTGATGGAGAAAAAACGGCAAGTCCCGACCGCCCGAGATCAAGGTAGAGTTAGGTGGCGTCCGCAACGACAACTCAAGAAGAGCCTCAAGAAAGACCGTGAGAACTGGTTGGCAACGATAGCTAGTGAAATGGAAGTCGCAGGTGCACCAGGGAATAGTCAGAGACTGTTCCAACTGATACGTAATACGGTAGGTCTGCGAACCACAGTTAGTGAGACAATCTGCGACAAAAGTGGGCAAGCTATTCACAATAGGGAAGAACGGCTTGACTGGTGGGNNNCCATGGACAGTGTCATGTGAACCTCCTGCTGCAGGAGAATTTTGTTCTTGCATCCAAGCCATGAAGAAAGGAAAAGCAGCGGGGCAGACGGGCTTCCTCCCACTCTTTTTAAGATAGGAGGGGGGGGCGATAACCTTGTAGACTCCATTACTGATCTACTGCGTAGTATCTGGTTACACGAGCGCATTCCATCATCCTGGAGCAAATTATTGATCGTTCCAATTTTTAAGGAGTGATCTCGCAACGACTGCGCAAACCATCGTGAAATAAGCTTGATCCCAATCGTCACCAAGTTACTAGCCTCCGTTATACTTCGACGTCTGACACCGTTTAGGGAGACAAACATCCGCGAAAAAGAGCAGGATTTCGACCAGGCCGGGGTTTGTCGATCAAATCTTCACCCTGGGTCAAGTCCTCGAGCTACACCATACGCACCGTCGACCAACTTATGTCGTGTTCTTTGACCTAAAAGGAGCCTTCGACTCAGTTGACTGCGAATCCCTTATGGGTTCGCTTCTTCGCAAAGGAATGCCGTAGAAGTATGTGGACATATTGAGTTCACCCTACTCACACACTTCTGGTAGCGTAAGCGTCCACAGCGAGCTGAGTGGGTCCTTTGTAACTAGTAGCGGTGTTCTTTCGCCATTCCCGTTCCATTTCGTCATAGACGAAATACTGGAGAACATACTAATGTAGGTATTGAATGGGCAGCTGGGGCAAAGCTGTGCGATTTGGAGTATGCTGACGACATCGTTTGCTTGTTCGAATGTATGGAAGATGCACAAAGAGTATTTGACAGATTAACAAGTTCTGTCGCTCCGTTCGGCGTGTGCTTTGCACCTTCAAAGTACAAAGTGATGCTACAAGACTGGGTGTCGCCGAGTTTTATTTTGAAACTGGATGGTCAGGAATTAGCTGTAGTTGACTGCTTCTCGTACTTAGGTAGCTGCGTGACCAACGACTTTAGCGCATCAAAGGAGATAACCACCGGAATTTCCAAGGGTCTAGCAGCACACACAGGACTTAAACACCTGTGGCGGCGACGTGATGTGTCACTAAAGTAGAAAAGTCGCGTATACTGTGTCACTGTACGATCAGTTCTACTGTACGGTTGTGAGACCTTGAACTTGCGGTGTGTTCGGCAATCGATGCTTACGTAGTCTGGCCCAAGTGGGATGGAGTGAGCGGGTAAGTAACTTAGAATTAAGTCATCGGGTGTTTGGGAATGCATCGAACAAGAACTCACTATCGTGTCGAGTCCAGCTCAATAGGCTTCGTTGGTCAGGACACGTCTTGCGTATGTCCGACGGTCGCCTACCGCAGCGCGCCTTGTTTGCAGTGGCTGTTACAGGCTGGAGAAAGCCACGTGGAGGCCAGCAGATGACTTGGATACGAGTCATGAAGAAATGGAGAGAGCAATTAAGTAGAGTAGGTGTCTCNATGAAGGCCATGGCTGCGAACCGACAGCAATGGCGATCGTGCTGTCACTTCTTATCAGATTAGAATGCTTGAAATAGTATGTATGCACAGCTGGACTGTTTACTCTGTGTGTTGACCATAGAGGTTCGCTTTTTTTCCCGTCCCTAGGAATAGGTCCAATCCCTGTCCTCTTTACACATTCTCACTTGTCTTGTATGCACTATAAGTTTGGTAGCTATCAGTGAAGTTCGCTTCGATGATGATGATGATATATTTGAAGCTAAGGTCTCTGGGAGGGGGTCGTGCAAGGTGGTGCCTTTCGAGGTTTAGCACATTCCTCAACTGAACAGACCCAATTGACACATACTGCTGGAAATCACGAG